AGTTTCGAGGTGACAATGACTGCTACGGAGATGAGAGATGGGGAGCTGGAATCAGATGACCCTTCTGAAACAACAGTAGAAATATATGTTTATTAGTGCTATACAGCTTTGCATCTGCATTAATTGCTGGCTTTGCATGGATTTAATACTTCATTTAGTGTGTTATTTATTTATTTATGATTATTTAGGTAGTATATAAATATAAAATATAAAAATGTTGTTTGTCAACAGGATAAGGATTCTTCTGTCCAAACAAAAGGTAAAGATGTATCAGCTGTCAGTCAAGCCTGGTTCACCACGAAAGAGGATAAAGACACACTGGTTAATAAAGGTAAAACATATTTCTTATTGATACAGGTCTGTATTGTCATGCAAACCCAGCATAAGAAATATAGGGCCTGATATCAGTACACACAGTCTTATTATTTGTTATATATCCTTAGGTCACAAATGGAAACAGGGTATGTGGTCAAAAGAGGAGATTGATCTCCTGATGAGCAACATAGAGCGTTATTTAAAGGTGAGCATGCATTATAGATACATCACATTTGCTGGAGGTGCCATCTTTGATTTGCACCCTCACTATTAATCTGTCTGTGCATCCCGACTCAGAACCGAGGGATTCGGGACCCTGCGGAGATCATCTTTGAGATGTCGAAAGAGGAGCGAAAGGATTTTTACCGCAGTATAGCGTGTGGTTTGAACAGACCGTTGTTCGCTGTATACAGACGCGTACTACGAATGTACGATAACCGAAACCACGTAGGCAAGTAAGTTGCTTTTATTTATCTTTTAAACAGATTCACAGATCCAAACAGAATCAATTATACACCTAAAATGACTGGTGTAATATTTGATATGTGCTATTCTTGTCGTTTAGGTACACTGATGAGGAGATCAATAAATTGAAAGAGTAAGTTGAGCCATGAATCTTGAATGTCATGAAGTGTGACCTGAATGTGTGATCTACATTGTCAGATTTGGGTGTTATTAGGCTAAGGGAGAAACATGGAAATGACTGGGCTACCATTGGGGCGGCACTTGGTCGCAGTGCATCGTCTGTGAAGGACCGCTGCCGTCTTATGAAGGACACATGCAACACCGGTCAGTTTTTCCAAATTTTCATTTTAGTGTCCCATCAAGGAGGTAGATTATAACATATATATATAGTTTATTTTTGTTATGTTAAACAAAATAAATATTAAACAAACATGCTTCTATGTTATAACTATGTTATAAAATATGCATTTTACATAAACCTAATAATGAAAAATTATATAATAGCATAATATTTAAATATTAATAATGAGATAATTATTACCTATTAAAATATTTTTTATTATCATTATAAATTTTATATTTCATAAATTAAATTGTGTATATTTTATTGAACTTATTAATTAATAAATAATTAATTACATTATTTTAAGTCTTTATTATTTTATTATTTAAGTAAAATTAGAATGACAAAGAAAATATTAAAACATTTTAATTATTATAAATTATATAAACAATAACATATTATTATGTGGTTTCTTTTTATTATGCTTATTTATTTATTTATTTATTTATTTGTGTGACATCATTGTAAACTCTCATGCTCTAGGAAAATGGACAGAGGAAGAGGAGAGAAGGTTGGCAGAGGTGGTCCACGAGTTGACGGGCACAGAGGCGGGTGACGTTGTAACTCAGGGAGTCTCTTGGGCATCGGTGGCTGAACTTGTCGGCACTCGCTCAGAGAAACAGTGCCGCTCCAAATGGCTCAACTACCTAAACTGGAAACAGAGCGGTGGCACGGAGTGGACCAAAGAAGATGACATCAACCTTGTTCGCAGGTAGTTCACAGCAAAATTCACAATACCTATTCACAAACTAATTATGAATCATTAATCATAATTATGCATGAGCAGGATAGCTGAACTGGATGTGGAGGATGAGAATGAAATTAATTGGGACATTCTGGCCGGTGGGTGGAGCAGCGTTCGCTCGCCTCAGTGGCTCCGCAGCAAATGGTGGACCATCAAAAGACAAGTGGCCAATCACAAGGAACTTCCCTTTCCTGGTGAGATAACGTCTTTATAGTTTAGCATGTCTGTTATAATGTGAGTTCAGACACTGAAGCGGTGTTTTCTGTGTTGTGTAGTCTTGTTGAAAGGGCTGCAAGATGTTGTGGAGGCACCGCCGTCTGCGATGAACAAGGTTGTGGTGGTTGGTTCTCGATCTGCTTGTGCTTCTCCCAGCCCTGTCACCGCACTGCAGATCCCGGTCCAGATTCCAGTGCAGATCACACATGTCTGTGAGTCAAATAACCTGTGAATGTAGTTTCAGTGAATTTTGTGGTTATAACAGTTCAGTGGCATTGTAGATTCAATGCACCATTTTCTCTCTCCACAGCTTCTTCAGACGGTGCAAGCGGTGCCTCAGACAGTGAAACCATCACATTGAACTCCGGGGCTTTACAGACCTTTGAATTACTGCCTGTGAGTACCTCAGATTTTACTTGGAGTATTTTTCATGTTATACAACTATAAGATGTATAAGCTGTGTTTATAAATCATTTGTGTAATTTCCTCCCTAGTCATTTCACCTGCAGCCCACTGGCACCCCTGGAACGTATTTCCTCCAAACAGGAACCAATCAGAGCCTCACGCTCTCAGCCAATCCCACGGTCACACTCACAGCTGCAGCTTCGCCATCTTCACCAGACCAGATTATTTTACACAGCCTCACCGTAAGTCTTTTGTGTGCACAAGGGTTATAGTTAACTAAAATTATTAAAAAACATATTTGTTACTTGAAATGAAATAACATCAAAACTTTTTTATTTGCCAAATCAACTTTTTTACTTTAACATTTTTTATTTAGTTTGATATTGAAGTACTAAAATCACCAGAACTAAAACTGAAATAAAAATTATTAAAAACTAAGCAGACATTTAAAAAAATTAATACAAATGACAAAAGCACACAGCAAAATTACAAAAACTAAACTTAAATTATATAAACTTAACTTATCATTTTATTAAGAGTAAAAATAAAAAAACAAAAATTATAATAAAAAATTATAATAGTATATTACTGATACTAAAATAAATATTTTACACTCATATTCATTATGCATTTTTGAAAAAACGAATTAAAATGACAAAAACAACTCAAACACAAAATTAATTATTTTCCATTTTAATTATTTTATTAAAAGTAAACTTTTGACAAAAAAATAAAATATTAATAAAAACTACAATAGTATGTTATTGATAATAAAATATATATATAAATTTGTGGGGGGAAAAAACGAATAAAAATGACAACAACAAAAAAACCGGCAAAATTACCAAATTTAAACTTAACCACTTATTCTCTGGGGCGTTTTTGGTATTTTCGCCTAAATTTGACATACTCAAATTCAAATGTTTACCCTACACACATACAATGGAGGAAATGAAAAAAAATGGTTTCATTGAAAAGAAAACCCTTTGAACTACAAAATATGAGTGTAATTCTTTACAAATAGCATTATATATATTTCAAATATTACAATAAACACAAAAAAAACATAGGTGCTTTTGGAGTTTTAAAACAAATTATTTTTTGTTTTAATTTTAAGTATTTTATTAAAACTAAAATTAAAATGAAAACTAAATCAAAATATTAATAGTATGTAAATTATACTAAAATATTTACCAAAATTAATGTGGTGTCACAAAGCCTGTAATTCTCTCTCTCTTCTGCCTACTTTCACCGTCTGCATCAGACCGACAATGAGAATGTGACCGTCCAGATGTCCCACCCTGGCATCATCATCCAGACGGTGACCTCAGAGGACCTCTCGGACCCTCTCGGCCAATCGGAGCTGGAGGGAGAGCAGGAGCTTGAGAAGGAAGAGCCTTTGGAAAACCAAAACAACTCTGGAGAAGAGGAGCAGAGTGAAGAGAGATCAAACGATGTACAAGAAGAAGAAAAGGTTTCATTTTCTGAATCCATTCCAAAAACGAAAAGTGTTCTCATGCCACCTTCCTGCTCATGAAATTCTCCTTTCTTTGTTTAGACTCTCGACTCTCCTAAAGTTGGGGAAACTGTAGAGAGTTCTGGGATGGGTGAGGAAGCCGTGCTCATGGTTCCGTCTCCGAGCAGCTTTATTCCTACTAATGAGGACATCAGCACAGATTCTGTCCTTCCGCTTGGAACGCTCACAGGTCAGAGTTGGCTATAACGCGTTACTGGCTGTATTCTAATTATTTTTCCTGGTAGTGCAGTAATGTAATACGTTACATTTTAAATGTATGTAATTTGATTACAGTTACTAATTTCAATAAAATTACGCTACTTAATTTACAAATGCAGTG